TTTGAATATTTCTTGCCACTCCCTTCTGGCCTGCATAGTTTCTGTTGAGAAATCAGCTGACAGTCGTATGGGTACTCCCTTGTAGGTAACTATTTTTCTCTTGCTGCTTTTAATATTCTCAATTTTTCTTTTTCCCTTGGCATTTTAATTATGATGTGTCTTGGTGTGGTCCTCTTTGGATTCCTTTTGTTTGGGGTTCTCTGTGCTTCCTGGACTTGTAAGTCTATTTCTTTCACCAGGTAGGGGAAGGTTTCTGCTATTATTTCTTCAAATAGGTTTTCAATATCTTGCTCTCTCTCTTCTGGCACCCCTATAATTCGGATGTTGGTATGCTTGAAGTTGTCCTAGAGGCTTCTTGCACTATCTTCATATTTTTGTATTCTTTTTTCCTTTTGCTTTTCCGGTTGGGTGTTTTTTGCTTCTTCGTATTTCCTATCTTTGACTTGATTCTTGGGATCCTCTAGTCTGCTGTTGGGTCTCTGTATATTTTTCTTTTTTTTTTTTTAATATATCTTTATTGATTTCAGAGAGGAAGGGAGAGGGAAAGAGAGATAGGAACATCAATGATGAGAGAGAATCATTGATTGGCTGCCTCCTGCACGTCCCCTACTGGGGATTAAGCCCACAACCTAGGCATGTGCCCTTGACCAGAATCAAACCTGGGACCCTTCAGTCCACAGGCTGATGCTCTATCCACTGAGCCAAACCAGCTAGGGCTGTATATTCTTTATTTTAGTCAGTGTATGTTTAATTTCTAATTGGTTCTTTTTCATATCCTTGAGCGTCTCACTATATTTCTCGGAGGTTTCTAGAAGATTCTTGAGTAGCCTTATAACCGTGGTTTTGAACTCTATATTACCAGTTGTTTGCTTTCCTCCATTTCTTTCACTTGTGACCTGTTTCTTTGTCTCCGCATTTTGGCTGCTTCCTTGTGTTGATAGAGTGGCTTTGTGTGCTAGGTGTCCTATAGGGCCCAGTGGCTCAGCCTCCCTAATTACCTGAGGTGGACACTCTTGGTGCACCCCTTTGTGGGCTGTGTGCACAGTCTTGTTGTAGTTAAGCCTTGATTGCTGTTGGTATTACTGATAGAAATTGACCTCCAGGTCAACTGGCTGTGAGGACCAGTTGTGTCTACAATGGGAGAACTTCTGTGCTGGAGACACCCTTATGGGGCAGGGCTTGCTTCAGTGGAGCTTTGGCACTCACTGAGTCTGCTCCTTGAGTATGTCTCTTATGGATGTGAAGAGTTGTAATCTGGATGGTCTCACACTGACCACTGGGTACACTGGCTCTTGGATCTCCAAGGAGGCGCAAAGTCAGCCAAGGCCTGAGGCCACCCAGCAGGAGCTACAGAGAGATCTACAGATTCCTCCTCTTTGGGGTTTAGAGGTGAGGCGCAGCTGTGAAGGAATGCAGGCTGCTGACTAGCTTTAGGCCTTTTGGAAGCTCTGGGTTTCTCTGACCCAGCTGCAGTTTGACAGGTTTTTAGGCGGAGAAAGTCCAGGCCATTAGTATGCAAAAGCCTCTGCTCACAGCTTGGGTGGGGTTGTAAATTGGGTGGGGCGGGGTCTCAGGGAATCACCAGGGTGGAGCAAACAGCAGTGGTTGCTGTAGGCCCTCCCCCGATAGGTCCCTGGGTCTCTGTGTCCCGTGGCCCCGTGCAGGGACAATGAATGCTGCAAGCACCTCTGCGAGAAAGCAGCCCTCACATTCCTGCCCGATGCCAGACAATCTAGTTTCTCTCTGTATGAGTCTGGGTCCCCAGATTCTCGCCTGGAACTGGAGTTCAGAGCAGTCAGGAGCTTGTATCTCCCTCCCGATTGAAAAAGACAACAGTGTACCCAGCTGCCAGCCCCTTTCGCGAGCTCCTCCATACCTCCACACTTCCACACCTCTGCACCTCCTACCAGACTCAATGCGCTTTTCTCTTTCCTTCCAGTTGTAGAATTTCCACTCAGCCAGCCTTCCTGTGGTTCTGGATGATATTCGTTTTGTCTTTTAGTTGTAGTTTTAATGTGGTTGTATGCGGCAGCAAGTTCAGGTGTTTACCTATGCCGCCATCTTGGTTGTCTCCGAAATTTTCATTTCTTAATATTACTTATCAGAATTTACCTCAGTATTGAAACAGATTGATCTGTTAACCAGTACAAAGTTGACTTTTTATAATTGGTCATATCAAAGATGAATTATTTTCTTGTGGAAATCCTTAAGGTTATGAACCACAAGTCTGGGTGAATTAAAATCACCCCCCTTCTCCCAAATTGTCCCGTTTAAGTAAGACAAAATATCTGAATAAACAAAGTATCTCTCATCTAGTTAAATAGCAAGTATTTTTTTCCTCCCAAAAAGTAATATTAAGATGTAAAGGGAGACTGATACAATTCCAATTTGAGTGACTGCTTTTTTCTTTCTTTCTTTCTTTATTAAGGTATTACATGTGTCCTTATCCCCCCATCCCCTCCCCGCCTGCCTCGCGCGCGCCC